TAACAAAGCATCCAAGCCCAGGCAGGTGCCTGTCACCCTTCACGGCTCCCCCTCATCTTTCTTGGGGCCTCAGCACAGCTGGGGCAGAATTAGCCCCAATTCCCCCTCCTCGGCTGCCATTAACCACCGCAGCGCCGTATCGCTGCCATAACCCGAGCGCTTCATTCCTCTGCCCCATGAGAGTGATGAAGACTTGACAAAGGCCACGCGGGGACGGAGCCAGAACTAAACACCTGGGACCCCCAACTTGGACAGTGCCGCGTTCGCCAGGCCCCCGAGCACCTCCCATTCTGCAAGGTGCACAGGGCGCAAACACCTGCCGAGGCACCGTGTTCAGTCACCCGCCGCAGAGGCCGCGCGGGCCGGGCAAACGCGCTGGACCTGTTTGACCAACGGTTGCAGCAAACACAGCAGGGAAAATTAACAGCCTCAATCGCCGGGTGGCTCCAAACTGCTCCCTTTGCAAACCCCGTGGGCCACACGGGGATGCTTGACGCGTCTGACGGGAAGCGGCGAGGAGGCGGCTATGGCCCTGCCACAGATTCCTGCGGTGACCTTGGCACATTGCTGTCCCCTCCCCGTGTGCTCAGTGCCATCCTGGTGGCTTGGGAGGTCTGAGAGGAGCTGCAGGCATCTCAGAGAGGGAGAAATTGGGGTCACCCACATCCTGGTGTGTGCTGACTTTCCAGGGCTCAACTTTGCAGTTCCAATACTGTCTTCTCATTAAATATTTCATTAATTCATTAAGGATTTTGCCTTTACGTCCCTGGGTGCCCTTCTGCAGGAGGAGCATTGCGGCTGGGGCCAAACCGCCCCGGGGAACCAGGTGTCCCATGTGTGCCACTTCTGCGCTCCGATGACGGAGCTACGGGCAAGGGGAGGGCACCAAGGCCCTGCCCTCATCCTGGCTCGGCCACGTGTTCCTGGCTCTTGTCCCCATGTTGTCCCTGGAGCACCCAAGGGAATCAAGGTGGAGGGGGCATGGAGGAAGCCACAGAGTGAGACCGCAGGGGACGCCTGGGGACAGGGAGGGTAGAAGCACCACGGAGTGTGACTGCAGGGACACAAGGACGTGGCTGCTGGGGACACGGGCGCTGTCAGGACGCCCCTCAGAGCAGCCGCCTCCAGGTGCCATGGGAGCGCTGGCACTGCCGTCCCGCTTGCACCCAGCGGGGTTTACAGGGACGGGCGCTCGCTCGTCCCCTGCCACCCCAGCCGGGCTGCGGGATGGGGGGTGCCCCCATGCAGGCAGAGCCAGCAAGGGGACGAGCCCTCAGGGTGGCACACGCGGACAGCGGGGCCTGTCCCGGGGTCTGGGTCTCCTAAGGGCAGGTGGCACCTCGCTGTCCCCGCCCGGGGACACCGGGAGGTGCCGGCGCCGCAGAACGGCGGGGAGCTGCGGCCCTCGCTCGGCCGCCGCCGGGCGCTGCAGCCGGAGCCGCCCGGACGCCACGGGGATGGCACTGCCGGGTACCGGCTCCCTGCAGGACAGCGGGCACCGCGGCAGGGACAGCGGCGTCCCCAGGCCAGCAAGGGGACCCTCGGCCTCGCCGCCGCACCGGGTCACGCCTGGCTCAGCGTCACCTCGTCCTCCAGCACCGTCCCCTCGGCTCACGTTCCCCACATTCCCATATCCCACTGACTGCCCTGGGAGCTCCTGTGCAGGGAGGCAGCCCAGGGATGGAGATCGGCCCCAGACACCAACGGGAGAAAAAACTTGAATACTTGGCTGTGAAATGAGGAGGACTTGAACTAAGAAGACACCAAATCACTCCCCTCATATACAGGCCCCGTGGTCTCTGCGTGGGGACACCGCTAAGCCGGCCGCAGGCGCT